GTCGGCGTTTTCAGCTTCTTCACCGTCCTCAGATTCGGACTCGGCCTCGGTCTGCTTTTGGCGCTTGGCGTGTTCGGATTTTCTCTTCTCTTCATCCTTCTTCTCCTCCTTTGCGATGCGACGCATATATGTCTCCTCCAGATCTTCTCCGGCAGCGCCTCGCTTGCGCTTCCGGTTCTGGGTATCTGTGGGCTGCTCCTCTGCGGACCCAGAATCGCTCTCCTCGGGGGCGTCTTCCATCTCTTCGTCGTCCGACCCGGCGGATAGATCGTCTTCGTCGGCATCCTCTTCGGTCTTTTTCGCTTTCTGGAAAGGCTCAGAGTACTTCACTGTAGGAGCTTGCACAGGGCCAGCCTAATAATTATCAGTCAAATATTCTGCAATTGGATACACAGGTATCAACATACACTTTGCGCAAAGAGAGAGGACAGGGTTGGGTCCAGAGAAGCACCACCTCCGAAAGGAAGAGCGGCAGACTTGGACTTATCGTCCGTCTTGGACTGGGACTTTGATTTCTTTCCCATCTTGAGATCTGGCAGTAGAATTGGTGATAAGGAGACGTGGAGTTGGTCTCTATCGACTTTTTTTTTCTGCTTATCGGGTCTTGGCGCGGGAAGCTGCTTATCACATGACATGTATAGAGTCGGTGTGAATATTGAAAGCAAATGCGGTAAATGGGATAATTGGCTAAATGGCTAAGAGATGCATAAGGATCTTCTCTGCATGCGTTGTTTGTTAGCATTTAACGTTAACACATTATCTTGCGATGTAAGTTACAGTGTAGATAGTCAATGTTCGGAGGGTAACTGTTATGATTGAAACTTTGCATATACACATTCAGATCACTCTGTATATTTCAACCAACTGTGACTTCTTTAATCTGATCTATATATCATACACCTACCTATACGCAATCATTCTATACCTCTGTTGTATACCATCGGCTACGTCAGATACCACTTCACGTGACTTGCTTTTTCTTCGGGCGGTGAGGCTCGCCCTCGCCGGAACGCGGCAGAACCCCGTCACTCGCTTCTGTTGCTGGCACCCCATCATAGCGATCTGCTGCTTTTCGCTGCTGAACCCCCTCTTTTGCTCTGCTTTACCACCCCTGATCATTGCTTTGGTCCTGGTCAAGATCCTCAACAACATCTTCATGCCGTCCGTCCTCCTGCGACTCGGTACCCTCGTCTTGTCCTAGCCGACCTCCCCTCGCCCTCCAGAGTCGGTCTGTTCAGGATTCGTCGAATCGAAAGATTTCACAACATACAAGAGTGGCGGTACGCGTGGACCTGTACTCAAGCTACCTCTCGCATCCCAGGAACGCGGTGATTTTGAGAATAGTGCTCGGTCGCGAGCAGCTGTGCTCATCACCGGCGTCGGTTCCGGCGCATTGTTGAAACGGTACGTCGCTTGAGGTTTACATCAATGCCAGACTTTCATCTGGTCAGTTTTGTGAGAAGATAAGATCTCTACTTTTCTTGGAGTCAGTTTTGTCGGTACATTCACTTTGCGCAGTCTCCAGTCCCTACGCTGGGCGATTGTTTCCGACTCTGGGGGCGTCCGATGATCAATCTCCGCACCACCGCCTTCTGGAGGCGCTCACCTATCTTTCGCACCCACCAACCACTTTTTGCCCACCAACACTCTTGTCCGCTGTTTCTGTGGAGTTGACATGGCAATTGAGCTAATCCAATCCTTGATTTCTCCAGATTTTCCATCCCAACACTATCTGGTGGATCCGTAACCGTCCTTCCTCCCCTCACGCCAGCGGCGATTCTCAACCTCGCCGAAAGCAACTTTAGAGCCAATATCTTCCAACCTTCCTTCCTCCCATTCATCTGTGCTCGCGCCAGCTCTACCACATACAACCTTCTCAATGGAGGTGGCCGAGAGCAGAGAACAAGCCTCCGTTGGTCCGTCAACGGGGGCAGAGTCCATGCCCAATGGAGATCGGAATCCCTTTCTGGACGACCCTCTCATGGACGATGATGGACGCTCAAGTAGTTTGAGTGAGATCGACGACGTCTCGGAAAATGAGCCCTCAGACTTCGAAGACCCGATCAAATCAGACAAGCCAATGGAGAACGATTCGGAGGCGGAAACCGAGCGCATCGAGGATTCTCCTCACAATATCCGAAAGCGCGACATTGTGCTAAGTGCCGGCAGTGCCGGACCCAGTCCGAGCAAGCTCCACCAATCTACCACACTTGACGATGTCGATGATGAAGCGCTCGACGACTCACCTAGTAAACCGCGACGGTCTTCTAAGAACAACGGCTTGGGCGCCGATATCCCAGACCTGGGCGATGTCGAGCTCCCAGACAGCATTGGCAAGAAGCGAAAACGCGTTGAGGCTGGTGATGAAACCGGCACCGAGCTGGGCGACGATGAGCCCATGAAGAAGCGCCGGAGCTCAATCAAGAGCGACTTGAGCGACCCGATCGATGACGATATCCCCCTCTCCCCCGAGCCGCTCGAAGACCCTATGGCTATCAATGATGATGATACACCGGCGGACGATGCTCCTGAGTTAGACCTCCCAGCCCCGCCTATGAAAGGCAAGAAGGGCAAAAAGGGTAAGCGGAAGGGAAGAAGGGCCCAAGACGCTGACGAGGAGACGGAAAATGGTGGTGCAGAGGCCACTGCAGAGGACGTCGCTGATGAGATTCTTGGAGAAGACGAAGAGCCTACGGAACGAGGGGATGAACCCGACGACGCGGAGGCAACTGTTCGAGCTGAAGAAGAGTGTATGTTCTCTCACGAGTCCTAGGCAGCATGATTACTAACGCCCCGAATAGCTGTCAAGAAGATGTCTGCTATGGATTCTCTGGCGACACTAGAGAAAGAATTCGCGACATTACGTGACAAGTAAGAAGCCGCCTTATTTCAGATGTTTAGTTGCTAACAAGTGCAGGATTTATGATGAACGGATATCCAAACTCAACCGCGAACTAGAGATGCTTACTGGTCCGAATCCGACACATCCCGAGTATCTGCGTCAAATCGAATGTGTGCAACGTTACCGGGATGCCAAGATCAAATACGAGGAAAACTTGTATCGATACCGCATGAAGGCGTTGCTCAACAAGGGCCTTGCTGAGCGAGCTCAGGCACACAGCACATACTTCCAACGTGTCCGAGACGTGCGTGAGAAGCATTCGAGTGATATCAGCAAGCAGTTCTATGCTATCCAGCATGATCGCTTCAAGACAGATGAACTCAGCCCGCATCATATCATCGCGTTCCCTACTCGTCGCTCGCAGCAGATCGCACACCAGGCCGCCTATAACCAGGAGGTTTCAATCATGGCTGGCGTTGCTAAGTATGTTGGCTTCCCCGCTGCCCCAAGCTTGTTGGGAGCACGTCCCACAGAACTTGATGACGACCTTGAAAAGATGGGGGTAAGTAACTTGTATCTTTCACTTTAACATTATCAGTTGCTTACATGGTCCAGATTTCTATCGAGTCTCGTGCCTCAGCTCCAAGGCATTCATCAGCAATGCCTCCACGGACTACTACCATGTCTGCTATGTCTTCGAATGCCTTCCGCGCCGCCGAAGAAGCATTCCTAGAACAAACTCCCTGGGCAAACCCGCAGCACCCGATCCATCAGCAGCAACAACATCAGCATCACCCACAGCAACATCGGCCTCCAGGTCGTACTTTTGAGCATCCGCAGCCATCGTCATATACCACCCCCGCTGCCCAAAAGCGGGTGGTAGACGTAAATGCACCAAATGGATCTGCATCCACCATCCCCGAGAATGCGTCTGCCGCCAATTCATCAGCCAACAACACCCCCTACGGCATAGAACAAGACCTGAGGCATCAAACGGAAGGACCTTTCCGTAACCCTGATTATGATGCTGATCACCGCAAATCTGGATTCCGCTCATTAAGTTCCTCCCCATTGGATGTGCGCAAATCACAACCACATATCCCCCATACTCTCGAGCACCGCTCTCCTGCTACCGACGTCCCTACCCACAACCACATCTTCTCTCCGCCTCCTGCGCGACAAGGCTTGTTCCAGCCGGCAGGTCTCAAACGGGATATGTCCCCATCCCTCTCCTCCAAACCCGTCGATGCGGTACACTACCGCGCCCATCAGTCAGGGATCTCAACAGGCTCTGGCTCAAATCACATGCCAACCCGCTAATTGTTGTCCTTTGACTTGTCACGATTGAATTGTCAACTCCCCTTAATACCCAACCAATCTCCCCACCTCTCCTCTGCATCTTACGCACTTCTCCTTTCCTGTGATAAACCCTGTGTCTGTTTTTTACTCTCTGTTATTGCTACGGCTACAAATGTATTTTGACTGTCCTTCTTTCTAACCCGAAAGAAAAGATGGTTTGTTTTTGTGTTTGCATGAATGGGATACCGGATCTCTTGCTTTCGAGTTTCAGCAGCGTTCATATGTGGGAACCTCCAGTCATCACTTACTTACTTTGGATTCATGGCCTATATCTGAATGGAATGGAATCTGGTTTCGAGGTGTTTTATTGTTCTATCACATGCGGTGTATGGGGTATGGAAATTTTCTTGTTTCTTGTTTCTGGTTTCTTGGGTAGAGGAATATCTCTTGCATTGGAGTTTCTTTCTTTTTCTCTTCCGTGTCTTACACTTCTTCTTGGTGTTGTGCGTGTCTTGTGTACATACCACGGTTGTATTCGATTATCACAAATCTTCAGATGCCTCTTCTTTACCTAGATCCTTTCTGTAGCTAGTTTAGATATCTTCATTGGGTCATAATTGGAATGGGACTGTGGAGGTGTAGTCAAGTCCAGATACAGCAGCCGTCAATACGTAAAGTAATTAAACTAAGCCTTAGAAGGCGTAGGTGTATATCACACTTTGCCCTTTCGACCCATCAGATCACCGAAATCCGACACATCCCCTCTTCCATAATCCCAAGTGAACCCCCAAGAACACAAACACAGCATCAAGACCTCTTCTCCCCAGCCCTCTCACGCCCAGAACCCAAAGCCGCCAACCTAGCCCTTTCCAAACCCAACCCAACACCAACAAACCCCAACAAAACAACACAAATATACACCTGCGGCGCAAACGTCCCAAACTCAGGATCAACCGCCAAGGCCCCAGGATAAAGAAAAGCACTCAACTGAGTGATCCAATAAATACTGCCCGTCCAAGCAGCCGTATGAACATAATGGCTCTTGAGTTCAGGTGTCGAGGCATGACGGTAGAGGTAGTATAATGTTGTCAGGCCGAGGACGAGGCCCATGGACATTGTTTGTCCATTATGGAATTTAGCATGGGGTGGCCAGCGCGGATTGTAGATGTGGGTTTCGTTCCAGTCGGCTAGGTAGGCGCCTACGGAGGTTGTTATGCCAACTATTGTCAGGAGGGTTGTGCCTGTGCTGGGCATGGTTGTTTCTTGTGGATGGAAGTGGGTGGAGGTTGGTGCCTGGCTTGATGGGTTTATGTAGCAAATACTTCTGGAGAGATGGAGTGGAAGTAGAGAGTGCTGCAAGTAGGTTGGATTTTTCGGATGTGCGCGGTTCCGAAGGGATGGAGGCCCGAGTGATTCTGGACAATCACTTTAGCTCGATGAGTGTTGAAATCAATTCCATATTTTATAATACAATAATGACTTGCTTGCAAGTCTATTTGGACTGGCATACCGCGTGTTGTGCCATCATAAAAGCAAACTTTGGGTGCGAGGATGGTATATATATTGGGGGTATATTGACTGTTGACTGCGAGATTCGAATATCCAGATAGATGCTTCCTCTTATACTTCAGTATCCTATCTGTTCTTATCCAAGATTTAAACAGAACACTATGAATGCTAACTAATCTGATTTGGGATCCAAGGACCATTGTTAACATCTCAACCTCAGAATTTCCAAATTGGTAATCATATCTATAACGCCCTGTCTGATGTGATGGTATCTGGCAATGAGCAAAGCAGCTTATGAATACTTGGGGCCAAACAGGGCGATTAGGAGATCGGATTTACTCAGCATACAAGAAGTGATAAGAGGCCCTAAATCGAAAGGAAAAGCTAATGGAAAGCTAAGAAATGGAGGGAACTCGCTACACAAACGTATCGACCCATGAGACACATACATCGCATAATGGCAATGGCATAATAAAACATAGGCCAAGATACATGGCCGAAGAGAAGAAAGACATATGTTCGAACGAATTGAAGTCGCCACCTAGCCCACAAGATTGAACAAGAATTGCAACATCTCGTATCATCATCAACAAGTGAATTATTCCGCAATCGCGGTAGGCTGGGCTTCAGGCTGCGAAGGTGCAGCCGGCGGCTCTTCTGCGGCGCCATTTGCTGTTGCTAGTACTACGCTTTCTGGGCGCCACTTGACAAGAACCTTCCTAGCGGCAGGTTGGGATTCCTCGTCTGTTGAGGCCACGTTAGACAGACCATAACAATGGGCATTAAGGGGGTTTGGGACTTACAAGTCTGGTAGACATCCTCTATTGTGTTCAAGCACATCTCTCGTGCTGGGGGTCGGAACATGACCAAGTACCTAAAGGAGAGTCAGTAAGGTGAATCTTGATGGCGGCGACGCAAAAACTTACATCAAAGCTTGAACGCAAAGATTGACACGCTCGGGATCCTTGGCCAAGCTGGCCACCCGCTGAGTGATAGGAATGGTGATCTCAGGGACTTCACTGAGGAAGCGAACCAAGACCTTGATATCGCGAGAATCAAGATAAGCCAGGAAACCATCAAGAAGTCGAACAACCCAAGTATCATAATGGAGAGGAACAGTCGGCTGAGCCTCTTCCTCAGATCCAGCACGCTGATTAGCAGCACTCTTCATTTTGATCCGGTCATTGTAATACTCTTCATTAAGCCAAATAACAGCAATGTTGAGTCGTCCTCGGAAATCCTCGAGAATATACCGATACAGTGTCTCGCGAATTGAATCAGAAATGGTGGTTTGTCTGCGTCCGGCTGAGTCTGTCTTGTTCTGGTTGTCCTCCTCGAGGCCAGCAGGTGCGCGCGTAGCCAAACGAGCAAGAAGAACAGACCATGCGTCCCTATCGAAGGTGCTACCTGCTAGCCGGGAGAAACCGAGCTTCTGCTGACTCTGGTTCTTGGCGGGCGCAGGAGATGTTTCGGCTGCATTCAACATGCCGAATACGCGGGCAACGGCACTACGTCCGATTTCTCCGGCTTCTTCCTCGCTCAAGGGAGGTGGCTGAGGCAGGACGAATGGACCCAAGGATACGAGCTCTGGCTGGAGATCTGCTACTTCTGCCGCAACGGCACTAGCTTCCTCAGAGACAGTTGACGCCGCATCCATGGGCTGATATTCGGGTTCATAATCGTCGTCATCATCTGCCGCAGCCGCTTGCTGTTGTTGCTGTCGCTGCAAGTTTTGTTCCTTGGTGATTGTTTGCAATCGGGTACGAATGGCCTACGGTAATGTCAGTGGCTATGAAATATATCATCTCATAGCTCTACTTACCTCAGTAGCCTGTGTGAGTGTCGAATCGTGGACCTGTGTCAAGAGGGGCACGACAATCTTAAGTACTAAATCGAATGGAAGCTGCTTCACGTCGAAAGAGGACAATCCGATATCTTCGGTTATGGTGAACAGTCGATCATAGCTTGCGGGCCCTGGTGCCATTGGGGGAATCTTAAGCATAGGGGGAGTCAAAGCATTGAGTCGTGCCCGCTTTGCGTTATCAAGTCCATCAGTGGGCTCAGTTGGCAATCCGCGTTTCCGAGAAGCATCATCAGGAGCCTCAAGACGTGATTGCATCAGGCGTTCGATGTACATTTGCATTTTACCAGCCATGGGGTGGTTAGGGTTCCTAATGATGTTAATGGTTATCCACGCTCTCCGTGGGATGAACAATACCTTTTCAAGATATTGATAAGGAGAGCTCGTGCTGTCCTCTCCATGGACTTGACGCTGACGCGAACAGTCGGAGTAAAAGGAGGGCGGACATGCTTTGCAGGGTAGAATTCCAAGACTGCATTTACAATCTTATTGGCGATGGACTGACGAGTTCGGATGAGGGGAGCGAGGCAGTTCAAGGTAGCATTTACAAGGAGGGCATCACTGGCCATAGTTAGCACTGTCGTCGACATCCGGGGGAATCACTATTCGGTTGTCATACCTGGTCTCTTCTTGGAAAACACCAAGCAGTCGGTCAAGCAGACCCGATGATTCAGCTTCCAGATTCGGGATTGACAGAAGAGCATGGTTGCGAGGAACAACAGCCAGGGAGGTCTCGTTCTGCTCCGGTCGCTAGAATATAGTCAGCACCAATATGAGAGGCGTATAAAGATCGCAGAACATACCCTGGGGTCCGAGATCAATCCTGGGGTCTGGACCTGAACCACGCGCTGTAGGAATTTGGCGCAGCAAATTTTGACGGGGCATGGGAAAGAGTCCATTTGGCGGAAGATAACCAGCTTGATGGCATTCATAGTTTCCCATGTTTTGCTGTCATCTGGGTGCTTCACACTGTCATCAAGATTCTGTTAGCGTGGTGACCATTTCGGCATTCGAGCGCGCTCCCGCGCCACCTTGAAAGGGAAAACTTATTTTGACATACATATGTCTGAATACGAGCGGATACAAGCTAGCGGAGGTTTGCACTAAGCTCTGGAGCACCGCAGTGTCCTTCTCCGGCAGCTCCAGGATTTCACGGATTGTCTGCAGAACATTGGGAGCAAGCTGCTCCTTCTGGGCTACAGCTAGCACTGGACTAGCAAAGGTTTCAGCTAGGAAGTCCGCACCCCATCTTCGTAGCTCCAGTCGGGTATTAGCTCCCACGATGGGGAGGATGCCGTTCACGATCTGCGGGTAGAAGGCAGCGTCGCCCAGGACGAGGTTACGGGCGGCATTGAGCTGGGTGATCTGATCGATATCGGCGGGTTGAGCCATTATGGCTCTGGTGTGTGGGTGTCAGATATGCGACACTATCGAGGCCGAGTCGGAGAACGATGTTTTCGGGGGACGCTGGTGTCGCAGATGCAACGCGCACCAGCTGGATCACGAAAGAACGAGGGCGGTGAGGATATTGGGAAAGGATAGTATTGAGAGAGGATGTGGAGGTAAAGAGAATGTGAAGAGAGATGTGATGGTGAGGTTGCGACCAAAGTGAGATGTGAAAGGGCAAGGATCACCAAAGACTCCGATGTATGTCTATGTAGCCTACACGCGCATTTCTACTGGAACCATATGAGAATAATCCATTAAATCTTCGATCTAGACTCAATTGACAAGAATAGTCCCACTTATTAAGAAATACATAAGAAGTAATTTATAACAAGTAACTTCTCGCCATCGCGTTGTCGAAGCCTTCAGATGCCAAGACTTTTCCTCCGGAAGATGAGCCAAGGCCTCAACTTTCTTGTCTCCCACTTCTCCATCTACATCCCCTCAACATGGCTACCGGAATGTATGTGTGAACCCCCAGATTCAGAAAGTATCTCTGCTAACATCTGCTCAGCTTCAACTCCACCTACTACGGCAAGGACTACCGTGCGGGTGCCGCCCTCCTACGTGCCCGCCGGCCATATCTCTTCAAGAACGCCCTGACCGGCTTCGGACTGTTCGCATTCACAATTGCAGTTTGTGAGTAGATCCCAATCACAACTTCCTCCCTGCGCGACCCCAATTCCTGGAACACAGAGGTCCTATGTCTAGAGCGCAGAGGATCATGCCACCACTTGCCCGCTTGGCAGACAATCAACAAGCCCAACCCGAACCACGAAGACCAGTGTGCTAACCACAATCCAACACAAACAGACTCCTACACCATCAAGGCCGTCGGCCAAGAAGAATTCTCCGACGTCAAAGTCCCCGATGCTCCAGCGGAGAAGAAGTGAAGCATATCTCACGCGCCCCGGTATTCGATACTGGGTTGACACCGTCAAGTCATTTGATATGCTCGGTGTGTACCATATACCCGCACGGCTTAGTTGAACGTCCTGCTGCAGCCAAGGAACAACGGTGCAAATTGGGGTTTCGGAGTCTTCGGGAAGACCTTGTTTTTCAGATCTGCAAGTTTAGCGGTTATCTCAGCATTTGTGCTGCAATGTACAGAATGGATTGAATTGTATTGGAATATGTTGTATAAATCATGGGCCTTAGATGTCTGTCTAGTCTCGTGTAGCACTTTCGCTCTTTTTCATACTGCCACCTTGGGGTTGATCTATACTCCTGCTCCCACTGTATCTTTATGAACCAACATCAAAGCCGGAGCAAGGAACATGTTGATAGGTGCTGATCTACAAGCAGGTATTTGGACCAAGTGATATATTTGGTAAGTTTTGAAAACACAATACAACGGCTTGCTATGTCATCATAACAGCCAACAGAAATGCGAAATGAGTCTAGAAAATAGTGCTCTACTCGGTTCGCAAAACGCGAGGACCCTTCTTCTTAGCGGTACGCTTACGCTTGAGGCCCTTGTCAAAGGCAACAGCGTTGCTGTGGTCACGGCCGAGGTTGTCCAGGTCTTTGACCTTGTAGAGACGAACAATCCAGTTCTCACTGGTGAAGGCCTCCTCCAGCGTGTTGAGCTGGGGGCTCTCCGTGGGCAGCTTGGTGCCACGAACCCGGTCGACCGCTTGGCCAGAAGGGAAGAGGCTCTGATAGTTGTGGTAGGACATCTTGTACCTGTTATGGGGTCAGTAATGTTTTGAAATCGTACAACGGTAGGGTCACTTACATCAAGCTGTTCTTCATGGCAGGAGTGGCCTCCTCGTCCACACGGTACTCGCCACGGGCAGTGAAGAAGTCACGCTCCTTCACCTCATCGGGCCAGATACCCTCGGCAATACGAACCATCCAAAGGAACTTGTTCAGATCATCGCCTGAGTAGCCAAGCAGTCCACCGAACACAACCAGGACGTAATCAACATCATGTTGACGCAAGATGGGGTAGCTGACTTCCTCACGCGAGCTCATGGCCTTGCCGACAGTGGCGATGTGGGTGTTGTTCCAGGTGTTGTTGTCGACAAGAGTAGGGCGGTCAGCCATACCACCAATCTGGTATCCGTAATCCCACCAGGACATGATTTTGGCGTTGTCAGGGGTGTTCTGGCGCAGCCAGTAGTAAGCCTCACGGTAGTCGTCAATGATGAATTGACTTCCATCAGGAAGCTTACTAGCCAGGACCACAGACGGAGACGAGTAGGCGTTGGAGGTGACCCAGGTGCAGTGTGCGACAAACAAGAGCAAGTAGAGGGTAACCGAGCAAGCCACGACAGATTTGGAGAAGTATGAGTAGATGCCAACAACAGGATTGCGGGTCGATCGAAGAGACTTGGAGTCTTCGACATTGGCCTTAGCCTTAGACTCGGGGGTGGGGGATGACGCAACCAGGAAGTTGTCGAGAATGGCCGACAAGGCGAGGGCAGCGGCAACACACACAATGGGAGTCAAAGTCAGCATGAGGCGGACCATGACACCAGCAAAGTAACTGGCGAGGACCGAGTAAATGACCACGAAGACATGCTCGTCCTTGAGCTTCTGGAAGCACATGAACACACCGGCGGGGAAAAGCCAGATAAGGAAATTCAGGTCGAAGAAGAAGGCTGGCCAGGCAGTAGGCTGGTGCTCAGAAACGGAGGCAATAATGGGAATATGAACCTTGGCGTAGCCGGTATCCCAGAGGGAGTAGAAACGGCCACTCCAGGGAGCGATAACTCCAGTGAGTGAGAGCAGGACGAGACCACTGAAGGCGAGGCCAACGGTGAGGAGAACCATAGCAGTCAGAAGTTTCTGGAACTGCTTGCCAGGAAGGTAGGCCCGAACGAATTCGGCAAAGGCCACCAATTGGAGCAGGCCAAAGATGCCTGGTAGATGGTCAGTACGAATAACAGTGATTAAGCAATTCCAGGATCTTACCAAGGGCAGACATGTGATCACTGTTGCGGATGGGCAAGAACCCGACGAAGGGGATCTGCATGCTTCCTAGTGTTCCCAGGGCGTACCAAGTGGTATAGCTGATGTACACACGAGTGCTGTATCGTCCCATGCAAATAAGGACGAAGACATGGAGAGGAATCAAGTTCGTGATGAAAACGTATCCACCCCAAGCGGAGACCATGTATCCATAGAACAAGGCAGTCAACGCTCCCCACATGATAGAACCGTTCTTGACAGCCTTGATCCAGAGGAAGAATGTGAATACCAACAGGAAGATGGCAATGGCCTCGTTGTCGTAGCTACCTGCGACGGACCGCGAGATATAGCCGGGGGTGATACCCATGAATGCCGCAGCGAGGAGACCAGCAGAGGGCGAAGTGGACATCTCGCAGGTCAGGAAGTACATGGCCAGGGCCGTCAGCCCAGAGAAACCAGGGGCAAGCAGAACACAGACATTTCGAATGTCGACGGGGATAGTGAGGAAACGAAGGATGTGGTAGATCACACCGCTGGTCACCATCAGACCAGGGTATAATGTGCCACCAGTGACACGACCCAGAGGATGCCATGTTCCTAATCAACAAATGTTCCATCAGCACCTCGGTTATACCACCATCTGGGGACGCGCAATCGCGGGTAAGGGATGCTTACGGTCATCAAACCAATCCCAGAAGCTGTAGAAGCCATTTTCAATCAAATATTTTGTTGCCCGGAAGTTGAACCACGGATCGACTAGAAGAATTTATCAATATCTCGTTCGAGTGTTCTGGGGGAGGTGACTGCATCTAGTGCAGCATAGAGCCGTACATTCGTGAATAATACTCTCAAATCCTGGAAACAAGTTAGCACAATGATCATTAAGTCTCTCAATTGACACATACTAATAACACTGAACAATCGACTAGCCACCGCGGCGGCAGCAATAGTACAGAGAATGATAACCCGCAATAGACCGCGCGTGTTCCGGCCGGAGCTGCCTTTCAGCAGAACATCAAGCGAAGACTGGGCCATAATGGCCAAAAGGAGCAAAGTCCGGAATCAGAAATCAAATTTAAAACATGAAATCAAGGAATGAATTGGGCTGAAGTGCCAATGGTGAGGGCCGTGGGTGTAGATGGGAAGAGCGAGAGCTACGCAAGGTGGTCACTTCTGAGGGTCTTGGCACCGGCGAGAGGCGCCACCTCCGATTGCTCCCCGCAATACTATGACTGTTGGAACTCTTCTCTCTCGCAACTTTCAACGTTTACGAGATATTTAGCTATATCGGCGAAACGAACCATCTACGACTTACTTTCCTTCACATCACAGATGGAGCTGCCTCCACTGACCATGGAGCAGCTCGCAACACTCGTGAGCTCCAACGCTCCGCCGTCACATCTCTTCGAAGCCTTATCGCTTTACGAGCATGAAGCATGCCTCATATCCGAAGGCAGCGGCTACCCTGGAACTGGTGGGGGTGACCCTACGCTATTAAGCACATTTTATTCCAGCTTCTTTCTCGTCCATCTCCTCACCGATCAAGTGTTAGTAGTCAAGTGATCCTATTGACTGTCGACCCACTGACGAAGATTGTGCCACAGACCTGAAGCTCGCGCCTTGACAAAACGAATGCCCGGATCTCTCATACACCAAGACTCTTCTCTGCAAAACTGCTTAACTTTACTACGAGCGGTATGGCAGACACAAGTTGAGCAGGTATATCGAATCCTCAGACAATGCCCATGGCCGGAGGTGCTACAGCCACTAGTACGGAGATATGAGAGTATGTATTGATGCCCACCAGGTCTGTAGGCAGTCACTTACATCGTGTTGTTAGGCTTCTACCAAGACAAGACCTTGATCTCTGTGAGCACGTCCTACGAAGCAATAAGGCTATCCACGGCAGCAAAATACCTTGGTCTCGACGAGCAATCCGCTGAGCAGGAAGACCCGAATATAATAGCCAATTTCACGAAGTGTGGGTGGACATGGGACCCGGAGACAAAGTTGCTGCATCCCAAGCCTATCGTTGTATCGCCCATGGACAACCAGTCCTCGAACGGCATTCGTGGGGCGATGAAAATGCTTGGAACAAGCGGAAGTTTAAGTTGACGAAGATCCCCGGGAACAGTTGCTAGTTAATACATCTGATCCTCCATCCAGAGGCTACACGGCTAGATGGCTACATATTCCGTCCGGGTTATACAAATGCGAAGACAAAGTAACGCCGGAACCGATATCGGTCTGGAACATATAAGAAGAAACGCCGGAATGCATAACACGATCTTTTGCTTCTTGCTTATGGTCCAACTGTAGTGTACAGGCGCACAACAGCCCAGGGTATGTACAGGACCCAGATAAAACGTCTAAAAAATGAGAAACAAAATCATTCCATCTTTCGCTCGCAATGCCACAGCTCGGGGGCAGACTAAACCCAAACAATCGTACAGAAATATGGAGCGGACTCGAGCAAATCGCGTCTAATACCCTGGGGGAGGTGCGATTCCCGCAAAGAGATCATTGCGTATCATTCCTCCACTCTTCTATCCATCACATTACTGCGACTCCGCAGCCTTGGCCTGCAAGAATGCCTCCAGGTCGAACTTGGGGTCCTCGAAATTCGTGATGACTGGAGGAGTTGTTAGCGCTGGGGGATTCTGGGGGTTCTGGGGGGTAGACGGCTGCTCCGGATCGTTTCGCATTGAGTCAAGCCGTATCAACAAGGGATTGTAACGTACGTCCGCTGGACTGTGTCTTGGTCTCCTGGGGCTGGGTCTTCTTCTTGTACTCGGCCTTAGCCTGCTCGATCAGGCGCTCCTTGCGGGCGTACTCGTGCTCAATCTCTTTGCGCTTGGTGATCGAGTTGAGAGAGGACTGGTGGTAGACACCGTAGACGAGACCGGCAACGAGAGCCGAGTAACGGAGGACCTGTAGTTGCGTAGACGTGGTCAACAGCCGGTTCGCGGAGAGGGTGACCCTTAGCCGATACTCACATTGACACCCTGAGTGCTAGCCATTTCTGCGATAAATCCGGAGGACGGGAGTAAATAAGGAATTAAATCGCGAGATACCGAGGGACCGTTTCACAGGTGTCAACCGACAATGGCAATGAATCTCCGAAATGGTCTGGGGCGAGGTTCAATCTTCAGTCCCTGCGCGAGGTTTTTCCGAAGCCGCCCGTCCAACCCTTAGTCATCCCGGGTAAATAAACCACGCCTACACTTTCACGACGACACGTCTGGTCTAATTTCTTTATGGTTGCACAAGATGTCGATGCAGCAGCGTAAGGATGAGATCCTTGCCAAACGGGCGAAGCTTGCTGAGCTGAAGAAACAGCGTGAGCTCCGCCAGAAGGAGTTCACATCCCGAACTAGTGTTGGTGATGCTTCAGAGGTAAATGCAGCATGTGAATTAACCATGGAGCTCAACTGAAGCTAACCACAATGGCAGATTATTTCGCCAGCACCCGGTCGCCCTGATAATAGACACGAGCTTGATGACTTGATTTCTCGTCTGGTGGACCGTCCAGCTTCGGCCTCGCTGAGCCATGGCGCTGATGGCCAGTCGCGCAGAGGAAGCCGGCCAACCTCCGTACTGAGCGCCAGTCAACTGAGTGGAGAGAATACCGACGCATATGCTTCTTCATCGCGCCCACAATCTCAATCCATTGCCGTCCAGACAGTCGGCGAGGAGCCCTACACTCCCTCTGCAACGGAAGCCCCGCAGCCCCCTGAACTCGAACCCGAATCCAAACCTAAAGTAGAGGTCGTCACCTACAGCAAAGCGGTACAAACAGATGGGTTAGATCTTCAACCTGAGACCCCTGAGGAGTCTGTTGCTTCGGATAATGAGGAGGTCCCTGGTACCAGCCGGTCGAACAAGCGTCTCAGTCGACGGGACCGGGAACGTGATGAGGAAATCCGACAGAAGCTTCGCAAAGAAATCGAAGACGAACTGCAGGCTACCAATCAGACGGAAAATAATGAGACGACAGCTGCGCAATCTTCACAATTAAGATACCCTCTGCGTACACTTGACGACGACGAATTGAAGGCTGTTACATCGTCGGATGATTTCTTGGACTTCGTGGAGCGTTCTTCGAAGGTTATTGAGCGAGCTTTAGACGAGGACTACGATGTACTGGCAGACTATGAGCTTGGTGGAACTGACGGAGATTTGCAAGAAGATGAGGAGACCGGCAAGAAACGAAGGGGAATTCGGGAAGTGTGTCAGTTCTGGGACGAACGATGGAGTAAGAAGCGTATGATCAGTGATCTGAGCTTCTCTCCCAAGGTGAGCACCGCACCGCTTTTCATATGGATATTATGTCTTATGTACTGACCCATCTCAAGTTCCCTGAATTGCTGCTTGCATCATACACCAAGAACCCTTCCGCTCCTCACGAACCAGATGGGCTTGTCCAGGTCTGGAATCAACACCTACAATCTCGCCCGGAATATGTGTTCCACTCCACCTCTGATATTCTCACCGCAAAGTTCTCCCCTTACCATCCAAACCTTATTGTTGGTGGCTCCTATTCTGGACAAGTCCTTCTGTGGGACACTCGTTCCTCACGCGCTGGCGGAGGCGCTCCTGTACAAAAGACTCCCCTCACTGGCTCTGGACACACCCATCCCGTTTACAGCATCTCAATTGTTGGTACACAGAATGCACACAACATCATGACGGCCTCTACAGACGGTGTGGTCTGTGGCTGGACCGTCGATATGCTTTCTCAACCGCAGGAATATCTGGAACTAACTACACCTCCCCCATCGAAGACGGAGGATCTCGCTCCGACCACCATGTCGTTCCCTCACTCCGATCCCACCTTTTTCATTGTTGGTACCGAAGAAGGAGGCATCTACCCCTGCCACCGGTACGATCGAGCGGGAGCCAAGGCTGGCACAGATCACCGGCTGGCCTATCGTGGACACGCAGCACCGATCATGTCCACCGCATTCCACCCCGGCCGTGGACCCGTCGATCTAGGAGATCTCATGTTGAGCTCCAGTCTAGACTGGAGCGTCAGACTCTGGCGTGTGCGGCCACCAGCGACAACAGCCTCCGCCACATCCGGCATCGCCCAGACGCAAGTGGTCTCGCCCATTCTCGAGATCAACCGTGAAGATGTGGTCTACGATGCACGCTGGTCCCCACACCGACCTGGCGTCTTCTCTCTTGTTGACGGTGCAGGCAACGTGGAAGTGTGGGACCTTGCCACAGACACCGAGGTACCCGCCGTCCGCACCACCCCATCCCGCGGCCGTGGCGGCATCTTATCTCAGAGCCTTAATAAGGTCGCATGGGAAGAGCGAGAAGGACGACGTCTTGCGACTGGTGGACTTGATGGTGTCATTACTGTCTTCGAAGTTGGCAAGGGCCTGGGCGGACTGCCAGAAGAAGTGCCCGCGGAGGAGTGGACTGATATGAAGCGGTTGGTGGGAAAGTTGGAGAACAAGGATCGGGTGGCTTAGATCTACCACTCCAATGACTTGTGTCTCCCAATCATTGTTGATGTAGTTTTCTTGCGCGGGCCGATCTTCCCCGTCTACCTTTTTTCCTTGCGAGGTGCCCCGTCTTGCCATATACCCCCTTCCCTTCAGTCACAGTCACATACTTGTGTGCTTGTGTATGTATTCCATCGCCAATATCAATGAAGAAAGATACCTTTGCCTTTTGGCTGTAACGTACTCAGGTTTAGTCCGCTACTGGTGGCGGGTGATATACCGTGGTTCCCAGTAACTCCCGAGCACCCCCTCCCTCGTACTCCACAGCTATTGCCCGGCAATGTCGCCAACTCCTTCACGTTCATAACTGCCGCATTGACAAATACCTGAAGCAGGTATCATGCAAGGGCATGGGATCTCGAAAGGTCTCGACTGCGGGGAACCGCCAACAAACCAACGAACAATAAACCAAATGAACCTTGACTGTTTCAGTCCCTCATCTATAACGACGTGGCCTCCGGTGTATCGAAACGACGATCTACTCATTCCACAGTGGGTATATCCAGCTAGTAGACACTTAAATAAAGTTGATCTAGACTCATGCCAAATGCCCGGAGTAGCAGTGATAAGCACGAATCTGACCGAAGACCCTTCCAAAATTGCCCGATGAAAAACCTACGAGTTCCGAAGATGGAAACCAAGCATGCGAGCATCTGTGTCTCTCTCCCCGATATAGTCAAGTAAGTTTTACATTAAACCATAGACCGGACTAGCTCACAGCATCAGGGTCAATATAGGGTTTTATCGAGAAAAGAGTAATTTTTCCCGCAGAGGTCAAACGTGGTAGACGCAGTATTCTGAAGATTTCTCGAAGCGAAAGGAACCAAAGACAAAAATAGGTCATGATGTCAGGAACTCAGGGCACCCTTGGGGCACGTTGGGGACGGGTGGATATAAAAGAGCGGCAGACCAAATACAACACGGTAGATGATCTGGAACCACGGGCATGATAACTTTGATACTCGATAGACTTCACATCCACGGCATTGTTCGGATTGCCCTGCGTGGTACATTGTGTATATACCTCATGTTTGGTTCCGTTGCCGGACTCCACATACGTATGCTATTGACTGAAAAATGTTTGAGTCTCTTTTTTATTTAATATGTGGACCCGTTCTTCGTTGCTCTTTTTCTTGCTATAGAGCGTTACAAAAGTTTCTTGATGGGGGTTTGATGAGGGCCCCGTTCTATCATGGTTAACGACTGGGCAGATCGGGACCAACAGCTGTATAATGGCAATGCCATTGTAGGTACTGCTGCTGCTATTGCTATCTTGCAGATATTCTTTGTTGTGGCGAGGCTTGGTACTCGGTGTATGCAGCGGATGAAACTTCGTGTTGATGACTATCTGGTCTTGCTTTCTCTGGTATGTATATCTATCTTTTGCTCTGACTCGGATTATTCTAATCGGGCTCTCTATAGGTTGCAAGTTTGGCAAAATCGACAATTTATGTCATACGTGAGTACAAACAACCAGTAATTCTTGAAAGAAAAAACAGACAACTCATCTCTCAGTGGCCACAAACGGTGGATTGGGATACCACTATGATTTTATATCTCAAGTACCCGAGAATGCCCTTCTTCAAAGCAAAGTATGCAACCCCAAGGCATCAAATTTTGAGAACGAAGCTGACAGATATTAGGGCTTATTCGCCATTCAAGTCCTCGACTATCCATTCAACATCACCCCAGCCAAGATAGCTCTGCTTCTATTCTACGTGCGCATCTTCACCGTCCGCAAATTCCAACTCTGCGCATATATTGTTGGGTCTTTAGTCCTCGGAGTAGGACTTGCAACGTTTGTTGACGCTTTCTTCGAATGTCAGAACATGGCGATTTTAGGGACCAAGAGCATCACGAATGGGGCATGTGTTCATGGGACATATGTCTTTCTGGTCCTCTCACCCCTGAATTCTTTGACTGGTCTTCTGATCCTTGTGCTGCCCATCCCGTCTGTTTGGAAACTGCATGCGCCCCGCGGACATAAGATAGCACTGACAGGTATTTTCCTGCTAAGTGGAATGTGGGTTGTTTAATATCATTCGCCAAACATTCACCAATCGGTGCAATGCTGACTATTATCGTCAGAGGGGCCATTGCTAGCATTCTAAGAATGACGGTATACTTCACCGACTACCGAACAGCCATTCATGACCCGACATGTAAGCCTTATTTCCGAATATGCATCAGGACGGGGTAACTAACCTCCCCGTCAACAGGGTTATCAATAGAACTGGGTACTCTAGCAGTCATCGAAGGTGGGGTCGTCCTCGTCGCCGCTTGTCTCATGAGTATCTGGCCTCTGTTCACCAGACTCATGCCTCGGCGTGTCCAAGTCTCTCTTTCTCGCCACAGTCCGCGTCAGTGTCCGCGTGACTATCATGAGTATTGGTATCTCAGAGAAATTCGAAACGATAAAATTCGGGAGGAGATCGCGGGTTGGAGGGAGGTTCGAGGTGCGGAGGATAGTTGTGGTAACTCGCCGCCTTCGCCTTGTTCGTTGGCTGACTTGGAGGATCAGCGGTTATCGATTCTTGTTGATGAGAGGGTGACTGATCCTCTTAAACATGGTGTGCGGTTTTCATAAAAGTTAAAAGTTTATAGACTAGGTAATAATAGGTGCAAACCAACAAGAGTGATAGATGTATACTTGTTCATTGGTATAGTATCAAAGTATATATAACTGAGACCTTTGGCTTCCGAGTTTGGAACCTTTGTTAACTTAGCCATGTGTACTGCTTATTTAAGTATCCAATTTCCGTCAAGAACATGACTTAATACTGCCAGACCCAACTTTTTAGTTAAGGATCGAGTGGTTAATGAGGCCTTGGAATTCAGGCAGTCTATATATCCATGCAGCGTTTCATTCTTTTTAGCTTCCCTTCCGCTTTGAAATGCTCTGTCCACTTTCTAGTCAGTTATAAAATGTTTTAAAACTGGCTAGGGGTTATCCCTACTCCGAGAAGATACTCATTTCAGGAAGATAGGGTGTTCCATAGCGTCCAAAAAAAGTTCGAGGTGTTCGGATTGAATAATCCAGCGTGAATTAGAACGAATAGGACCGATAGAAGCAGAAATATGTAGGTATCAGATGCAGTCAAGGTAAGAATTAAACAAAGAGATTGAGCCCTAGACGGACCTGAGGAGCCATGGAAATGCAAGCTTTCGGCCCGGTGATTGCTCTGTTTTGCCCCACGTTCGGGCGAATGGAGCCCTAGTCATTTTTTGGAGCTTCTCTTATTCCTCCACCTCCGCATTTCCTCTCTCCTCCATACTCGCCATGGTCGAACTCATCAACCCCCCAGAAACACGCTCATTACTCCCTCCGCTGCTCGCGTGCCTCCCGCTAGCCTTTGTGTCCCCGCGTGCGCCTCCAGCTCTCCTCCCACTCCTCTCTCCTATTCTGCGCCAACGAGTTAACGTCCTGAGCTCCCTGTCTACATCTTCCACAGACTCATGGCTGCAATTACTCTGCTGGGACTCAGGCAAGGCAGAGCGCCTGCAGAGGACTATAGACGGTGCCACCTTTGAACCGCACCCCGTATCGGGCGAGATCGAGTTGCCCGATGAGCTCCCGGTCACATACAAGCGCATCGATGATGAGACTCTCCAGGCGCAGGTCCCTCTGCCCGAGTACAGCATTACTGTGCTCTATCTGTGGTGCCCAACGGACGAAGTGGGAGGCGGCCGCGGCTGGCGGGTTGCGGAGCTTCTGCCGCGTGAAGGACCTGCCGATGAGGAGAACACCTGGGCTTCTTCTATTGGAGAGGCTGATTTTCTGGCCAAGGACAACCTCATGACTGATGTGCTTGGTGCTGCTGAGCAGGAGAAACCCAAGGAGAATGGCCAGGAAGAGGAAGATGACGACGATTATTGGGCTCAGTACGATGCTACGCCGGGCCGGACGCCTGGAGTCAAGACCCCGGCGCCAGCTGCCGGCTCAGGAACGCATGGCCCATCGGGTCTGTCTGAGCAAACGTACTTCTCCCAGTACGGGGACGTGCAGCCGGCCATGGATAACCACGATCCAACGGAAGAGCAGCCCGATGTGGGGCCGTCTTCCCTGAACGGGGATATGCTGGCCAGCCTGCTTCGTCGCCAGATTGATGGGGTTGATACGAATGAGCCGCGTACAAACGGGTACGTTGCTGCTGATATTCCCACTGATAAGGCTGCTCAAGCCTTGAACCACCCACGGCCGGCATCTATCTCCTCTGGTAGCTCTGTTGCCAGGTTGGAGCAAGAAGCCGAGAACCGGTCTACGTGTGAGGTTGGAGTGAAGCAGCATATCGGTACCAGTATCAAGAGCTTGTTCCGCTTGGCCAAGGCTACAGGAATGCCCCGAGCGGAGTTCCAGGCACTGGTGTCGACCGAGTTGGAGTTGTTGGACATGTCTGATGATGATTAAGGTCTTTCTTGATTGATACCCATGAGCCATGATTTGTTTGAAATCCAGATTCATATATTGTGAAGCTATTCTGCATCTGACGGGCATTATTTGGAGTGCATTTGGAGTGCATTTGGAGTTTGTTTTAGGAATGTCGATGTTTTGTTTTCCATCATAGTCTGCATTTGCTAAGAAAAGTCGTTTTTGGATATTTGTTGTACATTACTCCGTGAAGAGGTGACGACATCTCGCACTGGATACCCGATAAGGCGTAGTGTAAGATCTTGGCATCAGAGCCCCAGACCAACAACCTTGCACTTTGTGGCTAAGTCAATGCTTGTTCTCTGGTCCAGAGTAATCAGACCCATTCAAAGCCACCGTAGGGCAAAACTTCGAGGCTGAGCTTACTGCCCCCACTCCCAAAGATAAAGGCTCCTTTGGCCCCCATGTAAGACGGACATCGGCCGCAACACCAACACCATCTTTCTCCTCAACACACCATGGCCGATGAAAAGAAACAGAACCCATTCGAGGCCATGGGCCCATCTGCTTCAGAGGAAGCAGACCACCCTCCAGCATACACAGCCCCAGTACCCTCAATCCAACGAGAACAAGAACAAGCACCCTCAGCATCAGTACAAGAAACAAGACCAGGGTCATCATCGACCCACAAACCAATCGCCATCCCAGCCATAAGCCCCTCCTTCGACTCCCCCTTCATTCGCGCCTACGCACCAGTCCTCAAATCCCACAACCTCCCCAAGGAATCCTTCCTGGCCTTCCTCGACCAACTGAACAAAGACATCTCCAGCAGCCCACCCCTCCAAATCCTAGACGCAACAGGCGGAGTCTTAAACTCTGTCCCGATACTCTTCCCCCTGCACTGGATCGGGTCTGTAGTTAGTGGACTCGCCAATCTGGGTAGCCAGGGTGTTTCCAAGAGCCGCACGGACTCGGCTATCAAGACGGCCAACAAGGACATTTTCGGTCCGCGCGGGTTGAAAGCTGAAATTGCCAAGTTGGATGCTTTGGCCCATCTTGCCGGCATTCCTATTTTGGATTCCCAGGGCAAGGTTAATCGCCAGGCGCAGCTTTTATTGCAGCTTCAGAATGATGCTGTTTTTGGTCAGGGTGATAGGACTCAGGAGCAGGAGGTTGATGTGTGTCAGCGACGGATTCAGGCTTTGAGTCCTTGGATTGCCGAGCTTGAGTTTGATATCTTGCCTTGGTCTTCTAAGTCTAGGTTAACGCGCTTTAATGCTGCGTTGAAGAAGAGGAATAATGCTAGGGATCCGGACGAAGATTTTGGGAGGAGGCGGAGGGATAGGAAGGATTTTGTTTCGACTGAGGGAGAGACTGAAGATGAAGTGCCGTTTCGGAAGGGGTTGTGGCTTGTAATTCGAGAGGTTGATGTGGAAAGTGCTTGATAAGTTTTTGATGCATGCTTTGCGGGTTGTATAGCCAGGCCGCTAGACAGGTGAGTCTTCTTGATATATATCTTTGTCCCGCAGTCAATGGTGGTTGTTGCATTCGAGCCCTACGACATGCCAATTGAAAGGGATTTTAGCGAGCAAGACTGTTTATGCATTCAAAGCCACGAAAATAAACATCTTGGACCAGATACATATGTGAACCTTGTTAATTTTATCCAATTGAATACAAATACTCCGACAAATAGTCCGAAAAACTGGTCAAAGAAGAGGTCATAAGTCTGCACCAGAGCAATAGTGTCTATTTTTTCTGGTCGAAACACACCGACGTGATCCAGTTCTATGAAGTTTACTAATTTATGCATTCTGCAAATCCTTGAATGACCATATAATGGTCAAACAAGGCTTACGTAGGCGTGTTTCAATGAAGTATACAAGTGGAGCATGGGCCACCGCCCTGTCGCCTGTGCAAAGAAGACACGCAACGTTCTACAGTTCCGCCCCCTCTACTCCTTTTCCTCCTTTACAGGTCCTCAATTGTTGGTCATGCTTTATTGGTGATTCTAGTATGTTTTCCCTTTCTCTCTCTTCCTGCTTTCTCTGCCTTTCTTGCTGACACCCCGGAAGTCTATTTGACTATAGGTAGTTTCTCGGTCGCTCTCTTTCATTCTTCAAATAATGTCGTCCCCTTCGCCCTCTCTGCGGAAGAGAGGCGGAAAGAAGGAGGCTTACACCGCATTGCCTTCTGATGATGGCTCTTTGACTCCTGCGGCACCGGTCAAGCAAAGTTCGGAATGGGACTATTGGCTGGCCATAGTCGTTCTCACTGGTTTGGCTTTCGCTACGCGCTTCTACCGCATCGATTACCCCAACGAGGTCGTTTTTGATGAGGTTCACTTTGGAAAGGTATGGAGCCGACTGCTTCAACGCGATTGTCGCGAAAAAGGGGGATTTTTCATCTAACGTTGATCTTTGGTCCTAGTTCGCTTCGTACTATCTGCAACGCACCTACTTCTTCGATGTCCACCCGCCATTTGGAAAGCTGCTGTTCGCCGCTATGGGCTGGCTGATCGGCTTCGATGGACACTTCCTCTTCGAGAACATTGGCGATTCCTATATCGAAAACAACGTGCCCTACCTCTGGCTGCGTGCTATGCCGGCTACCCTCGGTGCCCTGACTATTCCCGTCGTGTTCCTCATTATGTGGGAGTCCGGATATTCCTTGCCTGCATGTGTTCTGGCCGCCGGTCTGATGGTCTTTGACAACGCTCACGTGGGTGAGGACCGTCTGATCCTCTTGGATTCCACTCTCGTATTGTCTATGGCTCTCAGCATCCTCTGCTATGTTCGATTCTACAAGCTTCGTCACCAACCATTTGGTCGTAAGTGGTGGAAGTGGCTTCTCTTGACCGGCTTCTGCATGAGCTGTGTCATCTCCACCAAATATGTTGGTTTCTTCACTTTCGTTACTATCGGTGCGGCTGTCCTCATCGACTTGTGGAACCTCTTGGATATCAACCGCCAGCAGGGAGCGCTTGACATGATCAGCTGGGGCAAGCACTTTGTCGCTCGTGCTGTCGGTCTCGTTGTCATTCCCTTCTTGTTCTACCTGTTCTGGTTCCAGGTCCACTTTGCCATCCTCACTCGGTCGGGTCCCGGCGACGAGTTCATGACCCCCGAGTTCCAGGAGACTCTCAGTGACAACCAGATGACTGCACAGTCCGTTGGCATCCAGTACTTCGACACCATCACTATGCGCCACAAGGACACCAAGGTCTTCCTCCACAGCCACTGGGACAAGTACCCTCTACGCTATGATGATGGTCGTATTTCCAGTCAAGGCCAGCAGGTTACTGGCTACCCCCACAATGATACCAACAACCAGTGGCAGATTCTGCCCGCCGTGCCTTTTGATGTGACTGAGCCCCGCAGTGTGAGGAACGGTGATATCATCCAGCTCCGTCACGTTGGCACTGAGTCCTACCTCCTCACCCACGATGTTGCCTCTCCTTTCTACCCTACTAACCAGGAGTTCACCACTGTCCCCAAAGAAGCGGCTGAGGGCGATCGTCACAACGACACCTTGTTCGAGCTCAAGATTGAGTCGGGCAAGACCGCTCAAGAGTTCCGTACCCTTGCCAGTTTGTTCAAGCTGATTCACGTCCCGACTCGGGTTGCGATGTGGACGCACACAACCCCGTTGCCCGAATGGGGTTACAAGCAAGCCGAGATCAACGGTAACAAGAACATTCTGCAGTCTAGCAACGCATGGTACGCCGAGACCATCGAGAACCTTGAGGAGGATAGCCCCCGTCTGGTGCGGGAGGAGCGCAAGGTTAAGACTTTGCCCTTCCTACGCAAGTACTTCGAGCTCCAGGGTGCCATGTTCCACCACAACAACGCCTTGACCAGCAGCCACCCCTATGCTACTGAGCCATTCCAGTGGCCGTTCCTGCTGCGTGGTGTCAGCTTCTGGACCAAGAACGAGACCCGCGGCCAAATCTACTTCTTGGGTAACCCGATCGGATGGTGGATAGCTAGCAGTCTTCTGGCTGTTTTCGCCGGTATTGTCGGTGCGGACCAGCTCTCCCTCCGCCGTGGTGTGGATGCATTGGAAGAAAGTAAGTTTCAATCAAAAAAGCAAACCCTACCATTTGTGACGGTGACTAACCTATACGTTTCAGTCTGGGGCCCTGGCACTCGCTCACGTCTGTACAACAGCACCGGATTTTTGTTCCTGTGCTGGGCTGCGCACTACTTCCCCTTCTGGCTGATGGGCCGTCAGCGCTTCCTGCACCACTACTTACCCTCCCATTTGGCCTCCACCATGGTGTGTGGTGCACTAATTGAATTCATTTTCAACCTGCAGCCGCTTGATCCCCGCACTGCCCTGCCCCCGGTCGATGACCCCACAGGCAAGTCCAAGGCCCGGTCGGTCAGCAGCTTGCGCCGCTTCATCACTGCCAAGGAGCGCATGGGCTGCAAGTCGCTCGTCGCGGGCTGGATCGCTACCCTTGTCATCCTGGCCGCCACCATCTGGGGCTTCATCTTCTATGCCCCGCTGACCTACGGTACCCCTGGCCTTGACGTTGCCGGCGTGACCGCCCGCAAGTGGCTGAACTACGACCTGCACTTTGCCAAATAAGCTTCCCATGGCCCAAACCAAAGCAATTGCCTGAGGCAATTTGTAAGATAACTTATAATCCGAGATAGACGGTAGGAGGTGTTGGAATGTGACATGGGATTGATATTTGATATCTTGGGTATCTATTGGAGTCCTATGTATCTGTTTGAATTCTCCGTTTCTCCCAATGTAGTACATTCTCCGTAGCCATCAGCTTTTCGAGTTTTGTGTCACAGTCGTACACACCAAATCAGTCCCTGATCACCCGTGAGCTATTTCCACTGACCGTCGGAGAAATGTACAATGACATAGATCAGGGTCAGGTGACTGTAATTTTCACGTGATTCCGTGCCAGTGACATGTGTCTGCATGTGTATTGCTGTATGGCTAGCGAGTTATTCTCGCACGTACATATCTTGGTTAGCTGTGAAGTCTAGACTCGAGACTCGTCTTTACCGCATTCCTCT